TTTTAGCAAATGGCTGCAATATAACAAAGAGTGAAAAATTTAAGGGGGTCTGAATACTTTCCGTACCCACTGTATACCGCCCAATCGGTGCAATGCTGGATGCTAAAAATGTGATCAATGTTTCAGACTGTGCTAATCAACTCAAATGTTTCATTGAGATGCATGTAATTTTAAAGGAAAAAGAATGTAAAATCATACACTAAAAAAGGTTAATTAATGCAAGTTACTTGACCAGAAAATATATATTTTAAAAACACTTCTTATTACTTATTACTGTAAAATACTGTAAAAATGTTATTAGTCAGGATAACTTAAATTCAGTGCAATACCATGATACATGATACATATTTAAAATCCTACTTTACATTTAATATTCATAAAAATATATAAATATTTATTCATTATTATGTATTCATTAATATTTTAAAATAATGTTCTGGTGATTAGAATGATATTTTTCACATTTCAGTAGGTTATTAGGGGAATGGAATTTTAATGTGCCTTGTCATGAATGGACAAAAATAGTATCATAATGCAAATAAATAAATATGCCTAATTTTCTTTTTGCAATGTATATATATATATATATATATATATATATAATTATATATTTGACTATCTTGTGGCAAATTTGCTCTCTTTTACGTCAGATATTCCCAGTAGTGAATCTCGCAGAGCTTTGAAAGGCCCTCGGTTTCTTTCACAACGTCTCGGCCCCGGTTCATCTACACGGCTGACGGTGCAAAACACGCAAGTAACGGTTTGCAACATGCATAAAAACCATTTCAAACAACCCTCACTATGATGGTGATCACTATTATCTATTATACATCCTGTTTAACTTTTTTTCTCACTCCCACCAGAACCGGAGCGCAGATGGAGAAAGCCTCTTAAAAAACCTGACGAGCACTCAGATATCACGGGTCCAGAGAGAGACCGATTTCCTTAGGTGAGGTATATATGTTTATATTCATTATTTAAATATATTTAGATTAATATTAATCTTTCTGAAGATGTCCAAAGTGCCTGAGTCATCGCCCTTCGGATCCTTTCGCCCGGTTCTGCCTGCACTGTGGAGCACCAGTGCCTCCAATACCTGGTCAAAGACTGCCCCCTACTGAAGGAGGACAGGTACAACATATTTGGCTACTACAAAATTCAGTGATAGTCAGATAATAAGTGATCATTTCACAATAATATGAGTATTTGCTGTGATTTTTCATAGATGGGTCTATGTGTGCATTGTAAAACCATGGTGCCGCTCAATACAGCCACATGTGTGGTGTGTGAGTCTCCACTGACTCAACAACTACAGCCGCAGGCTAGTCTGAGACTACAGGTAAATTCTCACCTGTAGTAGATCACTCCTACTAGTATATTTACTTATTCGATCAATCAAGTATATTATATCCATATTATTCTAGGATAAGCTCATCTGTCACTCTTGTGGGACGGGAAACCCTGCTCATATCACACACTGTGTCACTTGTGAATCCCAGCTGCTTCAGCAAACCACAGTAAGAGCCCCAACTCTCAGTATTGTCTTCTTTAGCCAGTCATTATTAGGATTGTGATAGGACACTATTATAACGGTTTTTATCATTCCACAGCCGGTTTTGAGCGGACAGAGAGCTGCACCTGTACCCAGCTCACAAGGCAAAATGGTCTCCTGCTCCAAGTGCAATAGAGTCAACCACTCGGATGCTCGATTCTGCGACTGGTGTGGGGCAAAGGTGACAAACCAGAACTGTTGAAGACCTATTTCAGTCCATTTGTGTTGGTTTTGCATAAGTTAGGGGTCATCTATATATGAAGAGTTCATTTGCAAAAACCGATAAACGCCACTTAAAAAAAAAATGAGCTGATTGCCGTGCATTATTCTCCACATATAGCACGATCTGGACCCTATAAACATGTTTAGTCAAAAAAGCCTGAGTTATCAGTTTTTGCAAATTAACTCTTCATATGTAAATGTCACCTACATGCACGTGTGCTCAACTGTTTGACAAAACAAACTTTTAGCACATTTAATGCATTTAAATAGTACATTCTCTTCAAGGAAAATTGAACACAAGTTTTGATGACTCATCTTGTTCATAGGGGCATGTGCAATTTTTGTCCAATCAAATGCTCTGTAGAATGAGAATGCCCCTCCCCTTCATTACCATCTTTCTATTGGTAGCATTTAGCAGTTAGAATATCATATAGCATAGCATATCTATGGCAGGATCCATTATCATGTCAGAAAGATCATATTTATGGGTTGAACGCACCACAAAATTGTAATTACAAGTAGGAAACTGGGTTTCCGAGTTGGGGGCGTGTCCATAAGAAAACATGTCACACACAATGGATACAGCATCTGTATTTATGGAACATTTGTTGAAATTAATGGAATTGTTATTATTTAAAAAAAAATTTACAATCACAATCATGCTTCCAACAAAAGTGGTTTGATGGCTGACGTTGTAATCACGACTTCCCAACTCGTAAATACGAACTTACCCAGAAGAACTTGAACCAACTAGACCTTTTGATATGTACACTACCACCTCAACTTCCTTCAATAGGAAATACATAAATATAGGAAAGCAACTTCAACTTCATGTGTTTTTTATGTCCCTTTCAAACTGTTTTGTAACCGAAAGGTTTTATGGAACTGTATATTTAGTTTAAATTATAACATGGAGATTCCATCAAAATATCATTGCATATATTTGGCAGTGTTTGTGTGAACTCGAATGCCGTGTGATTTTGTGTTTATATTTGCAGCCCGGCCACAAAGCCAGCTCTGTGACTTGTTCTCAGTGTGGAGCTAGCAGCCATCCTTATGCTAATTACTGTGGTGGCTGTGGTGTCTTCCTGGATGGCCCACCCAGGACGCCCTCACACGTAAACCAGGGACAGGATGCACAGGAAGCTGATCAGGTACCGTACACGGCCTGTTTGGTGCTCATTAAAAGCGTGCAGTATTATATCGTCCTCATCGCTCTCTCTCATATAGTCTTCAGCCACCTGGCAGGCAGTTCCTGCACCTGAATCAACAACTGTGCCGCCAGCTGCGGGTTTGCGCATGTGCGCAGATGCCCAGACGCAGACGGTGGGTCTGTTTTTCCCATCCAGCTCTGAGCTGAAAAAACGGAGCCAACAGAGGGAGGCGGAGCTTAGCAGACAGGAGCAGATGAGTGACAGGAAGCCCCTCCTCACTGCCGTTAGTCCAGGCCGAGGTAGACTACTGTACATTTTTCTTTTCCAAATAAATAAGTATGACTTCTATAGTATATGTCTATGTGGTGTGTGTATGATTCAGGATACTGGAGGAAGCAGCTGGATCACATTTGCGCTCATCTGCGCAGTTACACTCAGAATAATACTGAGTTCAGAGCTCTGATAGGAGAACCTCGGCTGGGCAGAGTAAGACCACTTTCCAGAGCACTAAAAATTATAATTGTAAATATTTTTATATTGTTATATATTATATCATATATTATTATTTATTATTGTTGTTGTTATTTTTATATACTTTTATTTTGATTCCATTATTATTATTAATTTATTGATTTACTTTTACTATTATTGTTATTTTATTACATACTTTTGTTTTATTCCTGTATTATCATTTTAAAATTATTTTATTCATTTACTATTATTGTTTTTATTATATACATTTACTTTCATTCCATTATTATTATTATTATTAATTTATTTTACTATTATTGTTATTTTTATTATATACTTTTTATATTAACCATTTTAAATAATAATTAGTTTATTATTATCATTTAATGAAATGATTTGCAATAGTAATCTAAATACTTATTAATAATAATATTACCATTCATTTATTTCTCTTACTACTTTAATTGATACATTTATTGTTTATTTATTAACAGTAAATGATCAAAGTAAATTTAAAAATTATTTTATTAATGTACTATTATTTTTTTTATTATATAAATTTACTTTCATTCCATTATTATTATTATTAATTTATTTTACAAATATTTTTATTTTTATTATATACTTTTTTATCTGTATTATTATTATTATTATTATTAACATTTTGTCTTTGTCAATCTGCTCTCTAGATGATATCTGCTGTCATTCAGGAGGATAGCTATGAAGTCAGTCTGCGCATCAACTTCATCTCTGCCTCACCGGAGGGATCCAGGGTCAGAAACACTCCTTAGAGCTCTTATTTTGAGTCTAAAGAGAGCAGGGTTGCCAGGTTTTCACAACAAAACCCGCCCAATTGCTACTCAAAACTAGCCCAATCTATTTGGGGGGTTCCACCGATGCAAATCGCATTCCGGGGGGTAAAATACACATTTTTTGGTGGGGTTCTCCTGGTAAAATGTCCATTCCAGGGGCTAAATATCATGTTATTGGGGTCGCTTCAACCCGTGGACATGAAAAACAACCCGCGGCAACAGTGTTAAAGTAGCCCAATCCTGCGGAAAAAACACGGACCTGGCAACACTGAAAAAGAGTCTCTTGAGCATTGCATGTTTTTCAGTGTGTAAGATCATATACGTCTTCTTCCAGTCGTCTTCTGCAGGCCAGCAGAGCAGATCTGTGGCATCAGAGAGTCAGAACCTCAGTGCTGTGACAGAAGGCAGAAATTCAGCCAGTCTGGGTACTAACACATGTTTGCTTTTCTGTCAAGATGGGGCCTTTCCATTAACTTCTACTAATTTAGTATGTTTAATTTTTTTATTAAAATGTGAAACATTTAAATAATAATTAGTTCATTATTAATAATTTAATTAAATAATTTCCAATAGTAATAAAATATTAAGCATCAAAGTATTTATTATTAATAATATTACCATTCATTTATTTCTCTTACTACTGTAATTGATACATTTATGATTTATTTACTAACAGTAAATGATCAAAGTGATGTTTATGACTATTTTCCTGTGTCATATGTTGTTTGTACAGACAGTAACATTAATACAGAAGTATCGTCAGTCAACAGAAAGAAGCAGAAAAAGATCTGGAGCTCAGACACGACAGAAAAGCAGCCGGTCAGTATCACACACACACACACACACATACACTGACATAATAACTGTAATTTCTATTTATAAGACAAAGAAACATTTCAAAAGGATGGTTAATGTCTTTCTCAGGAGTCCAAAGACAGCCTGCTCCTTAAGGAGGTGGGGCCTGAGGGGCGGGGCCAGATCTCAGCGGTGCAGCAGCTATTGGATGAGGTGAGGCTAAAGAACCAATCACAGCGCCAAAAACTCCACAGCATCTTAAAGGGGACCTTCTCTTTTTTTAGTGTGTAATATAGGTATTTTTCCAAAATGTTTAAGGTGCGGTTTTGTACCCCTTTAAGGTCCTCTTTTTTTTTAGTGTTCTTTGGCAAATTTTCGTCATTGAAATATAGTCATTTCAGTAGGAATCCATGTGATTTTGCACAAGATTTCACAACAAGTTCAAGATGGTCACGTAGGTCTTCGCCATGTTGAAACAGACTGCTTCGTAGAATGCTAGACCTTTTTTAACTGAAATTTTGCCAAAATTTCGCTAATGCGACCGCACCTTTAGATTTACTTGGGATCTTTTGTGTAGCTGTATATATTTCTAGAGGGTGTGTTTCAAATGTTGGCGTATCTCTGCAGGGTGCTGACCCAGCATGTTTGGGAAGTGATGGGCGTCCCGCTCTGGTCGCTGCCGCGCTAAACGGGCATCATGATGTCATTCCTGTGCTGGTGCAGAGAGAAGCTGATGTTAACCAGGCTTCTGGACCGTGAGTTCGAAACAAGTTCCTTTTGATATGTCTAGTAATAATCTGAGCCAAATGAATACTTTTGATCATCTGTGGTGGCCACAGGTTGAATAATACGGCGCTGCATGAGGCAGCAGCTCTGGGAAACCAAGGTCTGAGGAGCGTTGAGATACTCCTGGGGTGAGTTTCACAAACATTAATGATGATAAAATGACAAAGGTGTGTATTAAAAAATAAATTTCGTGCTTGTGCAGGTGTAATGCAAGTATCAGAAAGCAGAACAATCGGGGCCAGACAGCGTATGATATTGCCGTGGCCGCCGGGAGCAGTTCTGCGGTCTCTCTGATGGCAGCTCACATGGGGCAGGAACTGCTACAGCACCACACCAAGGCCAGGAGCCCATCTGGACTGGATACATTCTCTTGAGACAATCCACTTCTCAACCAAACCAAATCTCATCAGTGTCACTACATGTAATACTTGGAAGATTTGTTTAGGCCCTCCATCTCACCAGCAAAACTGACATATTCAAGTGAAATTATTGCTTATTAAAGGGAGTTAAATGAGTAAAAGTGTGATTTCCTGGTTGTCACAGTGTACAAGAAATTATATATGTGGTGTGGACTCTACTATTCTTTTACATTTAGAACTATTTTTAAAAATCTTTATTCATATTGCTATAGTTATGAACATGTGTCTTCAATGTGTACTAACTTTTTAAATTAGTACCAAACTGCTGAATGCACTTTTGACAGAGAAAAATTAAAAAAAAAGAGCCAACACAATATTAAACATTTTAATATTTAATTAACAGGTGGTGACATTTTTATCTGTACAATTGTGTGAATACAAAAAACACACGTGGCAAAAATAAACACTTTTTTTTTAACTAAGGAAAAATAATTTAGCTGTGTTTATGATGCAGAAGGAGTTATGCTGGTGTATGTATACAGAAAAACAAATCCTTCGCTTTGGTTTAAACATTGAACCAAATATATAATAAGTCATACAAAGCCTTAAACAGGAAATAACACAACAAATATGACTGTGATAACACTCCCTGACTGGCAGATCATGCGACGTCCGAGTCACATGACAACAAAGTTACACAATGTACAAAACCCAAAGCGTAGGCTCCTCAGCGGCGCAAGCGCAGGAAGAATGCATGCCTGCACTCTTTGCTGTCCACCGGGTAGTATTTATCATAAAAGTCCAGGATGTACTCCTCTGTTTTGAAGCCGAACTTCTGGTAGAGCAGCATGGCAGGGTTGTTCGCCGATACGTGTAGGCTCACATCCTTTCCCATGCAGGTCTACAGAGAGGAGAAAGGAAGATTCCTGCATCAACTGAAGCTTGTAAACTCAACGTGGTTGATTTATTTTTGACTCACCTGAATGAGATGGTAGATCATGAATGTGGCGATACCAGCTCGCCTCCATTCAGGATGCACCAGCAGGAAGGAGATGTAGGCTTCGTTGTATTTCACATCCGGCACCATGAAGCCAAAACCGATCACAACTTTCTTGTAAAGCACCACCACGCTGAAATCGGGGTACTGGAGGCACTCTGATAGGTCGATACCTGATAAACAGAAGAACGTATTACGCCTACAGGACCTAGTTTCACCCAAAATCTGTGTTTGACAGGATGAAACGATGATTACCAGGCCAGAAGATGTCTTGGCACATGGAGTTGACAGAGGGGATGTGATTGGGCCGCACATAGCAGTAGTCTATAGGTGCATCAGGTTCAGCTACCCAAGACGGCTCCTTCCTGTGAGGATACGCACGGATCTCTGAGAGCAAACGCAGCTTCAGCGGCCGATTCTCATAGTCTCTCCTACACACAATACACATTATCAGAAAAATATATATGGGTTACAATGGGTGCAGCTTCGTTTTTTTTTTTGTATCTGTAAAAACCTTGGTCATTAAAGATGCACAAATTTTTAAGGAGAAGTTATTTCAAAAATACAATACTGCTCAACATTTTTGGGTCCGAAAAATTTTACATTTTTGAAAGAAATTAATACTTTTATTCAGCAAGTATGCATTTCAAATAAATGCATCCTTTTGAACTTTTGAAATGTTTCCTGAACAGCAAATCAGCATATTAGAATGATTTCTGAAGGATCATGTGACACTGTAATGATGCTGAAAATCAGCTTTGCATCACAGGAATAAACTACATTTTATAATATATGAAAATAGAAAACATATTTCAAAATATTAGTGTTTCTACTGTATTTGTGATCAAATAAATGCAGACTTTGTGAGCATAAGAGACTTCTCAAAAAAACATTTAACAAATTTGTGTATACTTACATCTTTTAAAAATGTATTTTAATAATCTTAACTCATTTGGAATGTTTTGCACCTGAAAACCACGGATTTTTTAAAGAAGTTTTTATATACCTCTTCCTGGTCTAAACTGACCCGAATGCATAGGTTTAAGAAAAAAAGAACAAGGTAATAGTAAGATTATTAATGTGATATATTCAGATTTTTAACATACATGACCACTGCAATGAAACCACTTCATTAAAAAAAAGAATAATATTTTATCTATTTATTTGTAGTATTTTATCTATGCAATGATTAATTACTCTCTACAATCTAATTGCTCATCAATTCATGTTAATTCATTCCTAAAGTAACTAACATTTTCAGTATATAAAGAAATCCATTTCACGAACCTGAAATATACAAAATTTGCTTCATTTCGAGACAGACTTGCTACTATTTGCCATCAAACTCTTATTTCAAAAGAGCAAGAAAATCTGGTTTTCCATGATGCATCAAATCCCAACAGCTTGTATTAGTAAGACAGTAAGATTGAGTAAATGTTCAGATGTTCATGTACCTGATGTACGGCTTGAGCACTCTGGATGTGTAGGGACTCTTGATGGTCTGATCCATGCAGGCATCAGTACCCATCAGCCTGTGCCAGAATGACACTGTGGGCTGATAGAACCCTTTCCTTATGGTCACTGTTGACTGGGGAGCAAAACAAGACTTTTAATGAGTTTCTCAGTAGGAGTTATAATACATAGTACTGTACATATTTTCTTCTGGTTCACCTGAAAGCGATCAAGTATACGAAGGTCCTGGCTGGTGGTTCTGTATTTCCCTTCTCCGCTCGTCCTGTGGCTGGCCAAACCCCCTTGTGCCCCGTACACACCTCCCACCAGGCTGAGTGTAGCGCTCACGGCCTGATCCGCGTCCAGCAGGGGGAGCCCTCGCTCTCTTTTGGCCTGCCGCACGAGTAGCTTGCGATGCAGTCTTTTGGCCTGTGGCGTGACGGCCAGCGCTTGCGGACATGCCTCCAGCCTGTGGAGCAGCATACGCTCCTCATAAAGGCTGATGAACGTGTAGCGTGGGGTGGGCAAAGACACGCAGCACCCGCCCTTATCCTGGAGAAGCTTCCTCCGCTCAATGCCACGCACCCGTCCCGCTGACAACAAGCCTTCATCCCGGCCCATGTCTTCCTCACCATCTCTACCCCGCTCTTCGTCTTCACTCTCCAGTTCTTGTTTGATCAGCTCTGCTGGACGTATCTTTTTCCTGACCATGATGGTGCCGGTGGCCAAAGGCATGCTGGGAGGGGGAATATACTCCATCCCGGGGTCAATAACGCCCTCAGGGTCCAATTCTTCATCATCTGGTCGAAAGTAATACAATGAACACAGTCAACAAACAAGATGCTGTGACAAATCCTAACACTTTTTTTCTGTTTATTACCAAATATGAATAAATTATAAATATATAATAGGAGTGGTTGGAGTGGTTACTAGGTGTCTCAAAGGTGTTCTGGTTGGGCGTTAGGACGATACTAGGGAACTATGGGTGGTTAGTTCCCTAGTAACAGGTGCTCTGGGTGGTTGTTAGGCTGTTGCTATGTGGTTTTTAGGTTGTTCTGGGTGGTCATCTCATCAATAAGATGTTGCTATGTGTCTGCCAGGGTGTTTTGCATGGTTGTTAGGATGTTGCTAGAGAACTATGGGTTGTTACAAGGGTGTTTCCAGAGTGTTCTTGGTGGTTGTTAGGATGTTGCTATGTGTTTTCTAGGGTGTTCTGGGTGGTCATCAATAGGATGTTGCTATGTGGTTGTTAGGATGTACTGGATGGTCGTTTAAAGGAACACTCCACTACTTTTGAAAATAGGCTCATTTTCCAACTCCCCTAGAGTTAAACAGTTGAGTTTTACTGTTTTCAAATCCATTCAGCCGATCTCCGGGTCTGGCGGTAGCACTTTTAGCTGTAGCTTAGCATAGATCATTGAATCTGATTAGACCGGTAGCATCTCGCTCAAAAATGACCAAAGAGTTTCTATATATTTCCTATTTAAAACGTCACTCTTCTGTAGTTAATGATATTACGCAGCGCCTGAAAATAGGCTAACTTCCGTCAACATAACCAACTACACAAACTTAGTGCCGGTCACGTTGGAAGTTACCTAGCTGGGGACTATTTTCAGGCGCTAAGTAATATCATTGTGCCTGCTGCACCCATGGAACGGCAGCAAAGTTCCTTGATTATTACACCGGAATGAGAGTATAGTTCCTAGCCATATCGGCCTAGAAAATCGCAACTTTTCATTTTCCGTCGGTCTTAGTACACGATGTAACTACAGAAGAGTCCAGTTTTAAATAGGAAAAATATCGAAACTCTTTGGTCATTTTTGAGAGAGATGCTAACGATCTAATCAGTTTCAACGATCTATGCTAAGCTACAGCTAAAAGTGCTACCGTCAGACCCGGAGATCGGCTGAATGGATTCAAAAACGGTAAAACTCCACTGTTTAACTCTAGGGGAGTTGGAAAATTAGCCTATTTTCAAAAATAGTGGAGTGTTCCTTTAATGATGTAACTTTGTGGTTGCCCGAATGTTCCGCATGGTTGTTAGAATGTTGCCAGGGTGATCTGGGTAGTTGTAAGGATGTTCCTTTTTGGTTGCTTGGGTAGCCAGGGTGTTCTAGGTGGTCATCAATAGGATGTTGCTATGTGGTTGCCAGGGTGTTTTGCATGGGTGTTAGGATGTTGCTTGAAAACTTGGTGGTTACAAGGGCATTTCTAGAGCATTCTGGGTGTTTGTTAGGATGTTGCTATGTGGTTGTCAGGGTGTTTTGTGTATTTGCTAGGGTGTACTGGATGGTCATGTACTGAATGTTCCTATGTGGTTGCTCAGGTGTTTTGTATGGTTGTTAGAATGTTGCCAGGGTGCTTTGCATGGTTGTTAAGATGTGGTTGTACAGTGTTCTGGGTGGTCATCAATAACATGTTGCTATGTGGTTGTCAGAATGTTTCATGGTTGTTAGGATGTTGCTTGGGAAGTATGGGTGGTTACAAGGGTGTTTCTAGAGCATTCTGGGTGGTTGTTAGTATGTTGTTATGTGGTTGACCGAGTGTTCCGGATGGTTGTTAGAATGTTGCCAGGGTCAATAGGATGTTGCTATGTGGCTGCCAAGTTGCTTTGTGAGGTCGCTAGGGTGTTCTGGATGGTCATGTACTGAATGTTCTTATGTGGTTGCTCAGGTGTTTTGCATGGTTGTTA